AAAATAACACTGTGCATGTGCAAAATAAAAAGCAAGGAGGGAGCCGGCAGGGCTACCAGCTCCCTCCTTGTAATAATATTAACAATTCCTACCTCCCCCTGCATTAATAAAAGGGAGGTTAAAGCAGCTGTGTTACTGATCTCAATAGCTACTTTTTCATATTGCAACATTGGTATTGTTTTTGCTATAACTATTGGTTACACGTTCTCTTACTGTAGCTCCCTATCACTTCTATAGAAGATACTGATTTATATCTAGTTTTAAATGACAGCGATCAGCCACTGGCTGTTTAGGCAACATGCCACTTGCTGTATAGGTGACATGCCCCTATTACAAGGTGGGACCTGGCACCCCAAATAGAGGGGACATAGTGACCCGGGTGGGGTCTATTAATATAAATGAGGGCACCTAGTGTCCCCCCAGGCCACCACCCATGACCGTTGGGTGGGGACCTTAAATGACAATAAGGGAGGGACCTGTTGTCCCTCCTGGCCCCCACCTATGAGCAGCGGGTAGGGCCCTAATTATTAATGGGGGACCTATTGTCTCCACCCGACCCCCACTCATAAAATATAAAAAATACCCCCCACTTTAAAGTCCTGTCTATGAAATTTGCGCCGAGATTCATTGGTCCATATAAGCTGGTTAGACAGGTCAACCCTGTGGCTTATTGTATTAAATTGTCCCACTCCTTTCGCATCCCCAATGTTTTCCACGTGTCCTTACTGAAACCCTTGACATGTAACAGAATCACTAGTCCTGTGGTACCCCCTTCTCTGGTTCAGGTGGAGGACCAGGAGGAATTTGAGGTCAGTGCTATCCTGGACTCGTGGATTTCCAAGGGTACTCTCCAGTACTTGGTGGACTGGAAGGGATAACGTCCTGAGGACAGGTCCTGGGTGGCTGGTTCTGACATTCATGCTCCCCGCTTGGTCCGTTCATTCCACTATCTGTTTCCAAACCACCCTGGCTCTTCCCACTACCTGGGTCGGTCCTCGGGGGGGAGGGGGATACACCTTGTGTATCAGTCAGGGGCATGTCACAGGCTGCTGTCACATTGCAAGGTATTGGTGACACTCCTACCAACTCTCAGCTTTCTTAACCCCACCTCCTTTTATGACATGGCTAATGAGCGCCGACATCATGATGCTAAGAACACCACGGCCCACCAAGGTGTTCCAACAAGAACATTTTGGGGACCTGGTTACCTACCCAATTGAACACGGTATTTAAAGAGAAACCAGGGAGAGACTCATTTTCCTGTTGTGGTTCTTGATAGACCCAAGAGCGCGTATCTCGTATTGGTATTTTTGTATTCTGACTTAGGCTTTATTTGACTGTTCCCCCTTCTGCGTTCCTTTGACCTCGGCTATTCCATTATCGTTAATCCTGATTTCTGGTACCACTGACCTTGGTTTACTATTGACTATTCTCTGTGTGTGTAGCGTTAGTCCAGCCATCCTAAGGTCCTGTATACATTACTAGTATTTGCATTCTGAATGTAGGATACTCGAACATTCCTGACAGTTTGTTTGGAAGATGCAGGACAGACAGAAGGGTCAGTAGTAGCCTGGTAGATTCAGGACAGGCAGAATGGTCAATACCTGCCCAGGAGAATCTGGGCAAACAGAATGGTTGCTACCTGCCTGGAAGGAGAAGGTGTTGGCAGATGGGCCTGCACACTGAGACCAGCCAGAGCAGATATAGAATGTCCATGGTCTCAGCAAGGATCTGAGGTGGCAGAACCACATCATCGGTGGCTTTACATCACAGGCGGTTATTTTTCTCTCCATTGTATCCCATATTGGATTGATCCTGAGTTTTCTTGTTAGCTATGTGCTAAAGTCAGTTTGCTGTTTTAGTTTGAGGTGTTTTTGATTATTATTTAACTTTGTGAATTAATTGTATTATAATTTTTTTCCCCAGTGTAACACTAGTGTTTCTGTATGCAAATTAGGGATTATTCTAGTTTACAGTGAATGAATAATCTAAATTTTATTAAAGACAGGAGGCGAATATTTGCTTATCTTTCTTTACTGAAAACTCCCAGCAGCAAAGAAATAGTTAATAAAGTTGTAAAAAATTCAACCAATCATAACACAACATAGAGCTATATAGTGCCACCAGACTCCTCCCACTTCCTCTTTCTTAGGTGATGCCGAACAGGATAGGAGAAATGAACTTGTAAACTTGAAACATTCTGCGGTTTAGTCCGTAGCAAGTCAACCATGTAAACGGGTAGATGGAGAGATTAATCCGAAGTTTTCACACTAGAAGAGAAGAAAAGAGACTTCGTGAAAGTATGGTCTCTTGAGGAAGAGAAAAGTACAAATACGCATCCTGACTGATTTGAGCACAAATGGTACAATGTGGAACAGGAATGTTATGCTACCAGATCAGTGTTAATTGTATGCCTACCAGACAACTGCAAGGAATGTACAAGTTTGCCCTCGCTGTATAGTAAGTGTATGCGTGCAAAATCAATTTGCAAGGTAGTGTACAATGCAGTAATCTCAGAGTGAGAACTTACCTGTAGGGTGGGTTCCAGAATGAACAAAGGGAGGGAAAATATTCGCCTCCTGTCTTTAATAAAATTTAGATTATTCGTTCACTGTAAGCTAGAATAATCCCTAATTTTATGGCAAGACAGGAGGCTTCATATTTGCTGTTTTAACGCTCCTGAATAAAGGAACAAGCCGCATGTGGTGTTGGTTTAAAATAAAAGGTGCGAAAAGTAGATTCTCTAGACCAATCTGCGGAGGCTTAAATATCCGCCAGTGAGCCGCCTGCGCGGAAAGCAGAGGATGCGGCTGCTCCCCTCACGGAGTGGGCTCCGAAAGAGCTATCAATCCCTGCCTGGGTAAGCAACCATCTCACCCAGCGTGCAATGGTGGGTGAGGAGACTGGTTTGTGAGGTTTAACGTAAGAGACAAACAGAGGTCCGGTAGTGCTGTCAATGTAACAACGGGTGCACAGGGCCACACAGAGTGACGGCCTATCGGGAAAGTATGGATAAAAGACTGACAAAGAATTCGTCTTAGTGTGTCTAATGATGGTAAATCTGACACCGTCTGGAGCAAAGGTGACAGCGTGAAAGTCAAAAGCGTGAATGTCAGACACAGTAGCAAGGCCAATTTCGCAGAGAGTTGGCGTAAGGACAAGGCCTCGTTAGGTGGCCAGGAATCCAACAGTGTGAAAACCTGAGAGACATCCCAGAACGTAGAGTGTTTGGCAGAAGGTGGCCTCGTCAAACGAATGCCTCGTAAAAGTCTGCACACGGAAGGGTGTTTCCCAACCAAGAAATTGTCAATAGTGTCCTGGGCCGCCGAAATGGCGGAACGAAAAATATTAATCGATCGGTAAGATTTACCCTGATCGAAGAGAGATGATAAAAAGTTTAAAATGGGAGAGAGAGGAGTTGAAATGGGATCGAGGTCCCTCTCCAGACACCAGCTAACCCAACTCCGCCAAGCGGAGAGGTAGGTCCGTCTGGTTCTTGGAGCCCACGATTCCCAGAGGAGTGTTTGAGCTGTGCGTGAAAGACCTGTGACATGCCAAGCTCCCCTGAAACTGTCCAAGCTACCAGCTGAAGATGGCCCTGTAGGGCGAGAGGATGGAAATCGCCCATTGGGTTCCTGAGGACTCGAAAGGATCGAGGAAGGAGGATGGGATAGTCTACTGATAGTTCCAAGAGGGTAGGGAACCAGGTCTGGGCCCTCCATAGAGGGGTGAGTAATACTACCCTGACCTCCTGCTGTTTGACCCGGTGAAGGGTCCGCTGAATCATTGAGAAGGGAGGGAAAGCATAGGCTCCCTCCCGTGGCCAAGGTTGCAGAAAAGCGTCGACTGCCAGAGATAGAGGGTCTGGTAGCCAGCTGAAGAAATCGTCTGTCTGACGATTCAGGCGAGATGCAAAGAGGTCGAGTGTGAGAGGTCCCCGTAGGAGGTGGATGTGATGGAACAGGAGAGGGTCTAATTGCTGGCATCCCTCCAATGACGCGAAAACCAGTCCGCGACTAAGTTGTTGGACCCAGGGAGATACTCCGCTCAGATGGACAGATTTCGGTCCAGACAGAACTGGTACAGGTCCTTGGTGAGGTCGGACAGAAGTTTGGATTTGGATCCCCCGAGTCGGTTGACATACCGCACTGCGGAGACATTGTCCATCCGTAGTACCAGGGAGCAATTGGAGACGTCCTTGGCGAAGCTGCGGATCGCGAAGGATCCAGCAATGAGCTCGAGACAATTTATGTGGAGAGCCTGTTCCGATGGAGACCACAGACCTCCTGTGGAGGTTTGGGCACACGTAGCACCCCAACCCAAGAGGCTCGCATCGGATTCCAGAACAAAATCTGGTTGAGATCCGAAAATCGCTTTCCCATTCCAGGCTTCCATGTTGCGAAGCCACCAATGAAGTTCGATGATAACTTTGTCCGTCAGAGAAATTAATTGATCGTAAGAGGCTGAGCGATGCAAGTAGGTTGTTTTCAACCGCTGCATCGCTTTGTAGTGTAAAGGCCCGGGAAATATAGCTTGAATTGATGCGGATAGGAGACCCAGAATGTGTGCAAGGTCGCGGAGCCGAGGCCGTTGTGAAGAAAGCAACTTTTGGATTTCTTTCTTTATGTTTTTTATTTTGGGTTAAGGCAGCTGCAAAGTTGCCTGGACTGAGTCTATTTGAAAGCCCAGAAACTGGACTACCTAAGATGGTTCCAGGTCTGATTTCTGGAAGTTTATGACAAAGCCAAGGTTTTGAAGGAGAGCAGAGGTCATGTGCGTATGTTTGCGAAGCAAATGTTGGTCTTGGGCCATGATCAAAATATCGTCCAGATATATGATATAACGTATTCCCCGAGAGCGGAGTAGTGCCATGACCGGCTTCATTAACTTGGTGAAACACCAAGGGGCGGAGCAAAGCCCGAAAGTAGGGCAGGTGAACTGCCAAATTTCGCCCTGCCAGAGGAATTGAAGGAACGCACGGTGACTTGGTGCGATTGGGACCGTGAGGTAGGCATCCTTGAGGTCGAATCTGGAGAACCAGTCTCCCACGCAGAGCAGGTCCCTGAGAAGATGGATACCTTC